GTTGGTAGTAGAAGATGTCCTCCTGAACGAGGCACGCTGTAGTCAACGATATGGGAGTCAGTGTCAGAGAAGAAGACCACCAACGATACATCGAGTTATTTCAGGCTGTTTACAGCAGTGTTTGAGATAATATGGAGGCGCATGTCATTTAGCATTCGAGGTAGATGCTGTGTTCTATCTGCATAACGGCAATATGGACGCAGAGATACCGAGTTGTTCATGAGCAGAGAATAGTAGGGGACAATGTGGAACGTAGGGTGTGTGTGTGTGTGCGCAAACAATAGACTTGCACTGGTACAAACGCCTCGAATTGTTTAGGCATGGTTGAAAAACAGAGGGTGGGTGTCCCCTCGAGGCTGCTAAAAAGGCTCGAAGTCACTCTGATCATCAAGTGTACTGGCTTGTAGAGAGCAAGGAAGGTGTTATCTCAGCAGAGCGTGATAACAGCCACGTTGTCAAACAATCACTTGAATCGATGTATGGGAGCATATGAGTGTGTACGTGAGTATCGAAGCCATCCAGTCGTTGTTTTATCGTCTCCGCATCACGCAGCGCAAAGAAAAGCAGGCGAAAGAAGCAACAAATGCTACATGTATTGGGGTGGCCGATCACCGGGATGGTCAGCTTACAGGTAAAGAAAGTCGTGTCCTAGCTTGTGCCATTCTGCTTGATGGCCGTGACTAATTCTTCATTCGGAACGCTCGCAGACCGCCATGGGAGGACACGGCGTCGTGAAGCACTGTACTTGTTGTACATCACACTCATATCCCGCACGACAACGCACAGCGGCGCATAGACTGTCGCAGTACATCGAGTTGTTTGCCCAATCGAACATGCACATCTCGTCGTCCGGGCACCACTTGATACACTCTGCATCTTCAGGAATGCAGGTAGGAATGGGGTTGCACTGCGCTGCATTGATGCACAGGGGCATTTGCAGTCGGCAAGCTCGACCTTCGCCGCACTTGAGGTTGCATGCAACCGCTTCTTGAGTGGCGTCAGTGTTGGCGAGTGCCATCACCACGAGCGACGCGACAATGGTAGCAATGTGCATAGTGTCTTGGGTTCTTTCTTGGACTCTTTCTTGACGAAGCGAAAGCGATAATGAGAAGCGATAACGAACTTGGTGAGGGCAGGAGGCGAGGGGTCGCACTCTTTCATCCACGACAGCCTAAACGCTTCCCACGATGGCAGCTACAGCCAAGGGTCGGAAAACCAGCCAGCCCAACGGGTGCTGCGGGACAGCGACTGTCGCCAAAGAGACTCGGCTGGCTAAACTCTGATGGACCAACAGACGAAGGTATTCAATCAGTTGTTTTGATCTACAACATATAATGCTGGTCGACTCCAGCTGCGTCGATCGCACTTGCGTATTCGTATGCACTGCTCTCCCTTCGACTGATGCATTCACTTTTCAATCGTTGTTGCACATTACATGATAAGTAGACGTTTGATCCGCTGAGAAGCCGGACAGCAGAGTCTTTGAGTAACGACTTTGATGCAGACCACGCGCATATCTTCCATGATCGAAACTGCCTCCTAAGGCTCCGTGCCTCAACCAGTCGAGTGTTATGTGATGTAGAACCTGTACAGTCGCTTGACGCCGCAAGGCTGTCTGAATGGACTGATTTGGCGTAACTGCAGACAGCCGCGCGATCACTATGGTGATAGCAGCGAAGGAGCTTTTGGCTTGACTTGAAGATTGTACTGACGGCATAGTCCCCGTTACGACAACGCTTACATCGAGCGTAATAAAGGTTAGTGAAGCATGCATGGCAGACAAGCGCTGCTTCAAGTGGAAGACTTGATCTTACTTACTAGATTACCTCATGAACTTACGAAGGTAACATCGAAGGCATCGATCTTATCAATGCAAGCCCGTGTTCCAGTCTTATTTGCTGGTTCATCCAAGACGCTGCCGCTGCACTTTCGACGCTAAGTCCCTTGATCGGTCCCCAATCGCCATTTCCAATTTCAGTGAGGTACGTTCGACATCACCACTGCTTGACTGATTGACGTCCGACGTCCACCGCTTGCATTGTAAAAACGTCCAACCCTCTCGAGGCTTTTCACTGTAAAAAATGCCTGTCATGATGGATGCATAAGGTGGATAGCAAAGACTCTACACAAGTCTTGTCAGGCCTACTATCCTCAAGCGTCAGTCGCTTGTACTTGAGTCGACGTGCAAGGATCTCCAGCGTTTCCTGCGCATTTTATCACTACTCCAAAGCTTACTACTCGACGCCAAATTTCCTGCTCTCAGCAGCTACGTAGTCCCTCCATCGGTGATAAGAATGACAACACCATTGGCCAGTCTTGTGGTGGACTTTTCACATCCGTTCTTCTCGCTTGAACCCCATTCCACTTGTGTTTTCATACTGCTGTGCGTTGCCAGTAATCGGTCTACCGAGCTCTGTAATTTGCGCTCGACATTCTCTCGACAGCCTTCGTATCTAAATCTCTCTTTGACTCTACACATCGCCATTTTACGTTCTTTGTCAGGTGCCTTCTTGACTGGCGGCACCTCATAGTTAATGACGAAGTAGTCACAATCGTCTAATGTACGACCGTCAAGCGAACGAGTCGTAAAGCTTTCGAAGGCCAAAGATGCTCGCCAAGCAGTTGTTGTCACGGGAAATGCTCAACTGCATCTAATGAATCTGCACTCAGCATCTAGTACGAATTAGCAGAAAGTTTATTCCAATGAAGACACAATGATGCAACAGGTTTGATAGTATGCTTGATCATCACATCAGTTTATCACTCACGAGTCTGAAAAGAATATATCCAGTCTTCACGTTTTTGTTTCGCGTTGACGCAACCGACAACGATTTTTCCTCCTTATTCATTCCGACTGACACTTGCTGAAGCACGCAGCTGCTGACACGGACCCAGATAATACACTGCGGTTCATCGTAAGTTTCTTACGTATCGTGCAAGTCGCCTGTTCATTACGGGTGTCGTGTAAACTCATGAACTAATGCATTGACGTTTATTCTGTATACGTCGTTATCGGTATGCTCATCTGCTTGATGCAGATATGATGCAAGAAGTGGAGGTAGACGTGCTCGCCTTCCTTTCAACCGCGCACCCAGTCACCAAGTCCTTGAATGCGCGGATTCAAGACACCGTCCGATAACTTCTTGTGTATCGCCTGATCGTAGGAAGCATCTCCGGGCTGATCTAAATCGTAATTTGTCCTTGACCGCGTAAAGCGTGTCTTCTCTAGACACTCCAGTGATAAAAGTCGGGTATAAACATTGGTAAGCACGCTTGCACACGTGCCTGCGACCTGAAAGAGAGACTGTTTTGTTTGATATTGTTCATACTTCTCGTTCCAACTAGCTTCTCCATCGTCGAGATGGGGGTAGCTTCGGAAGGCACAGCTGACTATTTTGGCGTCGTCCTTCATCAGAAAGGTGCAACCTTTTGCTCTTCATTTCATGCAAGCAACTGCCATTCTTTGTTTTCCATCTACTGGATGTCGCTCGGACAATTGACAGATGTGCTCAGCTCAGTCTTGGCTGTAAAGGGACTCATTCTGCAACTAGAAGTCGACGACAGCGTATTACCTTCCACCTTACTAGATTTACTCCCGACTTGCTCAAAATTCAGTCGTAGCGGGACAAAGGGAAGACAGCCACCTGCTTAGAAGCCCCACTTGGTCAATCGATCGACCGATGAGAGTGCAAGATGAAGACGCGCATTAATGACGAGTATGAGAACATCGTTAGTGACTCTGCAACAACGACAGAACAACAGAGCGTAAATGGGTAGTAAGGCGGCAAGCCATCGATAACAGAAGCGCATAGCACAGCTAAAAGGGTGACATTACCTGTAAATTCTGCATAAGTGCACATTCATCAGATGCGGTTGAGTATCTCTCCAAAGATTATGTGGATGATGTTTACATCTCGGTTAGCCAGAGACGTCGTCCATGGTCTTATAGGTTGTTGATTCCTTTTCCGTCCATCGGACGTTTGACTCGGGCTGGGTTCGCCACTATCGAACACCTCATTTCTTTCCAATGCTGTAAGTGATGCTGGAAGCTCCTATCTACGGTCTACAACTACGCTCGATGAATCTTGACGCTACTTGTCAGAGAGCGCTAGGACTGTTTCATTTGCCGTGACCATATACGTATGAAAGTATGAGAATGTATAATCGAGAAGAGCAGCATCGGTATCTCGATCTCACTGACGATGTCGAGCCATTTCCATTCCCCTCGGACCCGTACCTGACAACACGATACTTTCAATATCCATGGCGCTTTAGGCTTGACTCTACAGCCTCCTCATACCCATCCTGGAAAAAGTGGAGTGTAGACATCATCGTGAGGACATCACTTGTATCTGTGTGATTACATTCTATCGTGTCAAGAATCGGGCATTTGCACCGAGCTACTACCAGTGTTTGCGTGCGTGATATCATAAACTACATCATCGTCCAATTCCATCAACTGAACACGTCGACGCGTTGTGTTCGGAGCCTTACAAAAGGCTGTCTGCTTCTTGCTGAAGCAGCAGTAGATGCAGCAGTAGATGCAGCAGTAGAGATGCGGGCTCAACGCGATTGTCTCCACACTGATTAATGTCAGGCGAACCGAAGTCACAAGGATGGTGGATGCCTGACAGCCATTACAAGTTCAGCTTTATGGAGTGTATAGCCGAGCACGAAGTGGTTGCCAAACTCGCTAAGCTTGTTTGGCACACTCCCTATCGAGTCGCAATAAGTCGCAATCACTATCACATGTGTCCAGCGTCAAGCAAGTCCCAGTGACTCTGTTGCAGTAGCTTCGACCCATTGACAGTATTCCAAAACAGAAGCGTGATAATCAAACCTAACATTCCAAACCAGAAACCACCCACGCTTTGTCGACCCCTCACGACCAATCGGCACGATTTGATCCACCCACATTTTTGTCAGCAGTATCTCTAAAATAGACAGTGTCTCTAAAATAGATCAACTCTTGGTAGCCATTGAGTCCTTGACGTGCATTGATGTCGGAAGAAGTGCTCAATTGCGCGCGCTTTGGCGACGACGAGGAGCTCAAGATACTTCTGAATGCAGTCGATAATGACGCTCGTGACGCGCTGCTCAATTCTGTCCAGCCCGAGACGCTTAACACGCCACTGCATATGGGTGCGTGGGCGTCCATTGTGTCCAGCTATTTTGGTTTTGTCAAATTAACATTTGGGGTTTTGGGTTTTATTCCTGCAGCTTGTGCAAATGGTCACGTCGACTGTGTCCGCGAGTTACTAAAGCACGGAGCGCGACATTTGCCAAATGCTAGTGGGAACTTGCCGCTACGTACGGGAACGATGAGAGTGGGTGAATAATTGGGGAAAAGCGGGTGAATGCTAACGTCCGGTTTTGGGTGGGTGTGTTTTTTTCTTTATATTTTCAACTATTATTTTTTATGGTGATGGTGTATGGGTAGACTGGGCAGTTCAGAATACCCATCGAGAGATTGTCAAGTTGTTGGTGGACGGTGTCCAGGACTTGGATGTGCTGTCTCGCAATAACTTTGGACGGGGCTGCGTCACAGAAGCTTTTCAATGTGATGACCCGGAAATCCGTACGTGGTTTATGGCTCACTGGCTAGATAGGAACGACGGTGTTTTTTCATTTTTATTTTTAACCGAATCGGTTGTTGGTTCTGGCAGTGACAATGCTGCTGGAGCACGGCTCGGCAACAGAAGAGCGTCTGGCAGAAGGCACGGGTATGGGCAACGATGCTCTGAAGGAAGAGAAGATTGAGGAGGATGGCGAGGAGATTGACAGCAGCACGACGCCAAAGGTTTTGCAAGAGACGGTGCTGGAGTTTGATTTTGTGCCTGGCTTACCGACGTTACGAGCAAGAGAGCTGGCGCTGGAATGGAGTAAGGACGCTTTTGGCTCGACTGCTGAGGAGGATATCACCGGCGTGTCGATCTGGTCGGCGGCGCTCATTCTGAGTCGATGGATCATTGAGCACCGCAATGTTTTTGATGGCAAACAGGTCTGTGAACTGGGCTCGGGCTGTGGCGTTAGTGGCCTTGCAGTGCACAAGTATACGAATGCCTCGCGTGTGGTGTTGTCCGATCTGTTTGCGCATACTATCGTGAATCTGGAGCACAATGTCGAGCTCAATAAGATGGACAAGAATGCCGAATCGGACACAGATGTCAAACCCGAGGCCCCCGTTCTCGACTGTTGTAGTCGGTGTGGTACCGTTCAGCGCTTTACACCCGATAACCCAGAGGGCAAGCTCATGACGTGCGGCGGCTGCAAATGTGTTGCTTACTGCTCTCGTGAATGCCAAAAGAAGGCCTGGAAGAAGCATAAATCTGAGTGTAAGGTCATCCGCGCGCAGCGTGAGCAGACTGAGACTCGGAAGGAGAACAAAGTCCATGAGAAGGGGATTGTGCAGGTCAAAGCTATTGACTGGGCTCAGCGCGAGACCTGGCCGGTTCATTGTGATGACGACAAGTTCGATGTGCTCTTTGGCTCCGATCTCGTGTATCATCAGGATATCGTGCCAGTACTTGTGGACGTCGTAGACGGTATGCTCGGCACCGAAGGTCGATTCTTGCATGTTGCTTCTCAAGCACGGCACTCGCTGGTCGAGTTTAAGGAGGCGATGGAGGCGCGTGGTTTCAGCTGCAACGTGGAGGAAGTACCTGACGAGTACAAGACGAACCCACTGGTGGGCAATGACGCTGCGACGGAGCTTTTCGCCCTCCACTTCAACGAGATGAGCGACGTGTACTGCATCTATACCTTCACTCGTACTACTCATTCGCAGAGTAATTGAACACATCGATTCTATTGCCTTGCTGACATACTTCTTGGCGCAGCAAAGACGGCACTTTATCACACGGCGTCTAGAGAGCGAGATCCTGTCTCCTCAGGTGGAATGGGTTTCGCCTTGCAGTCGGCAGTTCTCCGACTCTTGTTCAGGGTTCACGGATTTGGCGGAAGACGCGTACTTGGCAAAAGCGACAGAATCTTGTACTTGCTCCGGCCAAACACGAGTTCCCAGTTGCCGTTTATGCTTCCAGTTGAATACGGGCTAACTACTTTTTCGCCATGCAGACGTTGATTGCGTGGATAGCGATTGATTTGCAGCTCCACAGACGTCTAGATTGACCAACACACAAGACGTCAGTGCCCGCTTGCTCATCTTTTCTGCCATCCGTGGCTACATACCTGCGCCGTAGCAATGAGGAAGCCATGCCAGGTTGCAAGGATCGTAACAGCTACGCCCGCGGCCGCCGAGATTGCAAAAGCGAACTGGAGCATTTCCGGCGCGGACACGTGAAATGAACTCACTTGAGCAAGCACGAGCATCTGACCATGAGCACAGTATGTCATAAAGTTTTAAATACGCAGCACACCACCATTCTTCAAGCTCCAACTTACTCTCGCATATTGATTCGCATCCAGTTCAGCATACGCCACCATGTAGCTCATATAAGCGGCGTAATAGCAACCCACTGCTAGCCACACCAGAAACGAAAAAAAGTACTGCAGCACAAAGTCCTAAGTCGCGACGATCACAGCAGTAGATGGAGAATAGCAGCAAGTGACTCGAAACGTCTTCGTACTCGGTAGTTGTTGCGTCCAATGCAGTTATTCACCCACGGACAATGGTGATCCAAGTGAGCGATGCATCGATCGCACACTGTGCAGTGATGAGCTCGCGGCGGTCGAAAGTGGCGACATCTCCGGCAGTACGAAACGCCGCCTTCGGCCTGCGGGCGTCGACCACGTTGCCTGGCTACGTGCACACTCGGTGGGTTCACCAGTTGCGCAGGTGATAATTTCACGCAATTGATGTCAGTTTTCTTCCCGTCTAGAGCCACGGCACTCGGTCGAATCCGAGGCAGAAGTCCCAGCTCGACATCGTCCAGTTCATTATCCTCGTCATCTTTGACTTGCTTTAGAGCCACTTTTTTCTTGTGTACTTGTAGTTCACCATCTTCAGCAGTCTCCACTTGTCCGTCCGTCTCTATGTTCCACTTGTCTGTAATCACGCCCTAAATATACAGTTAAAGGCAGCGATTAGTAACCTTGTGTCAATCAGAGCATACTATGCTTCGACTTACCGGGTCCGTCGCGCAGCAGAGCGCGTAATTAAAGTAGATGTTAAATAGCAGCACGGTTGATAGGGCGAGATGGCACAACAACTTTGATAGAAAACAGTCCGTTACAAACACACTTAGATCGTTCGGCTGCATGTTAAGACGGTATGTACCTGTAATGTCGTATTCGCCATAATAGGGATGATCGCGTGCATAAAAAGCCCTCCCACGAGGAAGATAAGCGCTAATTACGAAACGCTGGTCTTAGAATTAGAGCATGTTCTGGCATGGCCCTATTTTAAATCATAGAGCACGAACCCATGCCAATGGCAACACATGCAACTCCCATGTAGCGCATAAAGCAACTGACGGCATGTACGAATGAGGCGGTGCAGATGAAACCCCATTGCATGGGGTCGCGCCACAGCAGCGGCAAGCACTTGAGCATCGCTACGTCAGCGTCGATTAGATCAAGTCATGAACTGTAAACACGTTTAGTGACCTCTAAGTATACAGCAAATTGCGAATAGAGTCAGGCAAATGACTAATAGAGTCCAAGCATTTTCGTCGACTCAGATGCTTGATTGTGGTCGATTCGTCGTAATTTACACACGGCACATCAGGAAAAACGGCGAGTAAAATACAGACTTTTGACGACATCTGTAAATAAATGATAAATGACAACAGCAACGTAAGTCTATGCGTTGAACGCTAGTGACGCCAGTAAAAGAACGAGAGAAAAGCATCGACTACAGATTAGTATAGACCTTCTACACTTGACGAGATCTTGCTCCGCTTTGCGTACTGAGACAGGTAGACATCAAAACGAGCGGTAATAAATGCTGGCCATACAATAATGAGCATGAATATGACAAGAGTTCGGTAGTGGTACATTTGCGCCGTGCTCGTTGTAGAGCACATTATTGTGCGGTACTTGGCACGGCTACAGAGATGCAACACCAAGCAGCAATAGGTGTCACCATTTTGATGATCGAGATGGTGCTGTAGCTAAAACGTGGCCAACCACGCAGTCAAGTGCGACACCTGCGACGCCTCCGGGTCTCGCTCGTGCTCGTCTTGCACTTGACCGCGCTGTTGCGCTTCGAACTGCTCTATCCACTGAGTCAACTTCGACTTCTTTGAGTCGATGGGGATTGCAGCTGGTGCGTGTGTTGTCGCTTCATTTGATGGGTACTCTGCACCTGTAGCGACGTCATGATCGTCGAGCTGCATAAGAAGCCTGGCTTCAACCTCCTGTTGACGGAGATGGAGCACGGATCGAAGTTTCTCCTCCTCTGTCTCCTTACTGCTGCAAAGCTCGTGTCCATCATTTCTCGCACAGCCGTCGCGATCGGTAGTGTTGTTGTTGAAGTGCTCCCTTCTGTCTTCAGGAGCGTCAGTATGCGCTTGCATGCTTTGAGACCTTGCGTCTGGTGACTGCGTCCTCGCTCTCTTTCTAGCAGTGCCTAGAAACGAGCATCGAATGCAGCACAGTGCACGGGAAAGCATTGTTGCGTGTGTGTTCTTATTGCCGCGTTCTTTCTCTCTTGGGTGTAAGGAGGTTGACGGACGGCGTCAATCCTCGGGTGTGTCGCTCCTTCTCACCATGAACACGAGGAACTTTCTAGGATGACTCATACAATGCGTACGAGCGAAGAGAGAGAGCGAGAGGCAAGAGGCGAATGTGCATGGCTTTCTGTATTCAGTCTACGAGTGACGAGCGTGTCCTCGGTAAAGCTCAGTTGGTCGTGCTCGACCGATGGCGAATCCATTTGGTCAGTGTCTTTGCTCGACCTGCACGCACAGGCTTCACGGGTGAATGAAGTACTTTCAAATTCGCGTACATGTCGTCGTCGTAGCAAACGCTCTCGCTCTCGGGCTGGTCGTCCTTGTCATTGACCTCGTCGCACGGACGTCCGTGTCGAGCAGCTGTCGCGCTTCTCTGTAAGATCTCGGTCCGAGGTGATGCTCCTCCTTTGACAGCTTTGCGGAGACGGTTGATGGTCTGGTGCGTCGAGTCGCCTAGACTGAGGTGCTTGGCACGCGTAGTCAAAGCCGTGCCTGCACCCGTGAGACTCAACGACAGCGACGTAAGCCGCGAGGTCAAGCGGGAAGTGGAACTTGTCGACTTCTTCTCGGGACACGAGTTCCGCCAGCGAGATCCAAAGCCTTGGTCGAGTTCATTCCAATCGTCATGGAGGTCAAAGTCGTCTTGGCTCGTGGCAAGGATGGACGGATTCCTCTCTCTTTCGTAGATGTCGAGCGTTCGTGCACGTGTGGGGGCCATCTTTTCACCTGCAGATGGTCGAATGGAAAGTGAGCGACTCGGGTCTGAAGAGAGAGAGAGAGAGAGAGGGATGCACACCGGATGATAACTCCATCGCTTCAAGATCGAAAGGCGCCCAACAGTTGGCAAAAATCAGCACCGCACGTAACGCTGCAAGGTGATGGTGTCAGAACGGAGCAGGTGGACAATGTGCCTGCGGAGCGACGAGACTTGTCAAGAAAACACACATGACATGACAAAGAGGCGAAGAAATGACGAGCGATAGTGAATGCAAAGGCGCTCTGCCCTAACTACTGCACATCCACTACCCACTGCAGTGCAACTTGACCATCGCGAGTCAGACGTTGCGATACAAGTACGGGCGGCTGTGGTCCGTTCGTTATTCGTTGCAATGTCGTTTTTCGGCACCAAAAATGTCGCCGATAAATGAGTAACCTGTCGAAATGCTGCACAAGCTGTTGGATGAAGTGGCTGCCATCATCACCTCTCTGTGATCGTCGGGGCTGTTGCTTCGTTTGTTTCTTACTGACTTGTTGAACACGCCTGTCGCGACTCGACTGTTTCATGGGTGAAGCCAAGTCATTGCATGGTTCCGAGCCGATAAGCATCTTTGACACGGTGCAATTCGTGAGACAATACACAGACAGTAGGTCTCCTGCCTGCTGGATCGAGGGAGTGTCTCACTCGGGCACATTCACACACACACTATGATTTAAGTCTAGCATAAACTCAGATTGCTACGTGCATTTCGACCTGCGCTTGACGCCATGTCATGATGCATGCGACGAAAAGTAAAAGAGATCCATTTGCTGGGCCTCCATTTGTTTCAGAAGTGCAGTTAGAGCGGCGAGGCGGAGTTGAGGTCGAAGTTGTTGTCAACCAGCTTTCGACAAGTGTAAATAAGAGAAAGGCGAGACGAGGTTGGATGCATAATCGCAGCAATGCAGGCACGCTTGCTGCTGGTTCTCTTGCTACTCGGTCGCGTGATGTCGCAGCGGTCGAGTCGAGACCTTGACATTGCTCACTTCCTCCAGGAGCGAGCAACCTGGCACCCAATGTGTCTCTATACTTTTGATACCTTCGCTATCCGTGAAGACAGCGCCACCATCAGGAACCGAGTTCCGAATAACGCTTGCCCTTTCGATGCTCTTGAACCTGAAGGTGACCTCGTAACGAGCTTGAACACGGAGTCCGCTTCCTGGCAGCTAGGAGTCCACCTGGCGGAAGACCCTGCAAACAACACCAAGCGGGTCCAACTGTCGTCAACGAGCACAGTTTCGGCGCGTGACTTCTTCACGATGGCAGCGGTTCGGAATGACACGGTGACCAACTCGGGTGTGACGTTCGAGATGGTGATCAGGCGTCGAGCAATAGCGAACCGCAGCATGACGCTGTTCTCGATTGCCAACGAATACGACAGCTGTGTAGACCCTGGGTTTCGCCTCGACTTGAACGAGCATCAAGTGCTAGTGTTTGTTTACTTTTTACCAGTACTAGAGGAAGGTGGCGAAGCAGGAGTCGAGGCGTGCTACGAGCAGCGGCTCTTTTCAGTGGACAATTCGGCAGCATGTCAACTTCCTCCACTTCAAGAACCGGTAGATCGGACGCCGCCTGTACAGATCATAGTCACGTTGGATCCGTCAAGCGAGAGAGGCATGTGGAAAACCGACTTCTACATGAGTTACACGGATGTCGAGACCGATGAACGAGTCGATTGCGTCGTGCACGATGAACAGCACCCACCCAACGCTCAGGTCCTCAACCAACTAGTCGAAGGTCGATACCGACTGTACGTGGGCAATAGCCCTCGCAACGTTGTTTCACCACGACAACGTAGGCGTTTAGCTCCGACCCGTAAGCTCCAACCTCTTGGGAATACCAGCCATTTGAACGCTACCGAGCGGCTCCGTGAAACGCTGAAGCAGAAACTGATGCGCATCAATGGACCGCGTTTGCCAAAGGCCATGCGGATCTTCGGTGACAACTCGCTGTCGCTAAACATCTTGGGCATCACCTTCCCACCGCTGAATGAGGACACGCCACTAGCTTATCTCCGCAGCAAGCTTGCAGAATTCAAGAAGCAGCATGGTGACCAGATCGTCGATTACTTGGTATCCTTGGTGCACCACAAGATGAAAGACCCCGTCGTTATGCAGCAGTCGAATCCATGGAGCGATCAAAGCCGCAGCAAAGACAGTGATGGATTCTCCAGGGCTGCGCTTTTCCAAGGCGCAGATAGCGCGACGTTCGATGTCTTCCATTTCGCCATCTACCGTCGCGTGGTATCGGAAGACCAAGTGAATGCAATTGCTAGGCAGCAACTCATGCCATCTCGACAGTTCCCCTCTCGACAACAAACAGTGCGAATGTCTGAAGACTCCACCGTGCTATTGAATCTTACGATGCTGCATGGCGTTTACAATGACTTGCAGCTAGAGATACGTGACCTACCCGAGTTTGGACAGCTACTGCTGTACGTGAACAGAACAACGGTGACGACGAGCAACAAGGACGCGTTTCGAGAGCTACCGCTGGAACACCAACGTCACATCTTTTTCCAACCACTGGTCGATCAAAATAACGAGAACCTTCCGTTGCCAAACCCCGTGGCATTTTCAAGGCGGGTGATGCCATACGCGACAGTCAAGTTTGGCATCGCCAACAGTTCGGCAGGACGGGCTGTGAACAAGAGCCTGGAAGCGACATTTGACATATTCGTAGATGCAGTGAACGATGCCCCGCGCCCTCGTAGTTATACGCTGGACGTTCAGGTTGAGGTTGGTTTTCCAGTTTCCCTTCACTTAGAAGGTGACGATAGCGATGGAGTTCCTCCGCCTACAGCATCAAATGCCGATGCCTCCCAGTCACACGATCTCATGACGAAGTTTACGTTTCGAAACGCAACAGCTAGTACGCCAACAAGCCTGCAGATGCTGAAGATCGTGCGGATGCCGCACTCTGGCGTGTTATACGACTGCAAAGCTCTGTGTGGTGTATCAAATCTTGAGCTGAACGAGGGTCGACAATCAGTGACTCCAACTCGGATCTATCGGAATAGCACGGATATTGAAAACGCAACCCATTCCACGCACTTGATGTACATCTATCGTGGATGGGGGCAGCATGAACCGTTGCCGAACGAGAACGCTTCATCAGTAGTAGTTGATGAGCTTTGGTACAAGTTATCTGATGGAGAACCTGGTGTGTTCTCGGCGGTAGCTAAAGTCTACTTTGTCCTCGTGAACAGCACGAATTATTCAGGGAACCCCAATGTACTTGCAGCTGTACGAGTTGATGAAGACTCGTTTCGAGTGGTGAATCTTTTCACACTAGATCCTCTGGCTGCATTTATCAGCGTCCAGACACGACTCAGAGTGACAGCCTTACCACGGCATGGAGCTCTTTATCAATACAGCATTCAGGACAACTGCAATAGCAGTGTGTCGGATACGCTCGTCACGTCCGTTGGAGCACGTATCTCAAACCCCGGTGATATCATTTCCGACTTGTGCGGCAGGGTGATCTACGCGCCTGAACTTGATTATTTCAATATCGAGTCGAACGTTGCGCTTCGAAGAGCACTTGACTTTGACCACTTTGAGTACCAAGTCTTGAACGCAACGAGCTCAAGCAATACCTCGCTAGTGGTGAATGAACGATCACCGAGTGCACAGTTTATCGATGGCTCAATCGTGCGCAGAATCGAAGTGGGGGTTGTGAACGTGCCTGATGCGATCGTTGTGCTTCCCCCATTCGTATTCACTCCAAACGCGTCGGTTGGCAAGCCGTTTGCAACACCGATTACCTTCAGGGACCCCGACAGCAGAAACCCGGATGATCTCTATCAAGTCAACCTCGAAGCCGTGGACAGTGCTTCGGAGTTCGAGCTGGGGTTTGCAATCACCAACGATGATCTAATGATCGGGTGTTCATTCGAGCGCCCGTGCACGCTTCGGCGAAGTGCAAATGGATCCCTTGTCAACACGAGCTCACGAACCATGGATGAGCTGCAGTTTCACATATCGACGCAGCTCTACGATCCTTCACACATCCAGGTTATCGGAACAAAAAGTGGACTCAGTAAGGCTCTGTCAGCGCTCTCGTTTCGCGACTTGTCGGGTGTCTCCAGCTCCCACGCAGTCGAATTTATGCTGTGGATCAAGCAAGCTGGCAACGAAAGCAGAGCTGACACTCGTGAATCTCACACAACGTTCACAGTCCAATTCTCGACAAACGATCAGGTTGACTCGATCTCTAGTGTGGACATGGCTGCCATGTTGAAGTCCACGCTTAGGCGATACGTCTTCACGCTTCTCTTTCTCATTGCAGGATGGCTTGTCTTGTCAAATTCGTCCTGCAACTCCATCGGATTTTGCTGCTGCTGCAGTAGAATGCGCAAGAAGCGACGACAAAAGTTTGAGCAACAACAACGGCTTTTCCAGGCGCAAGTAGCACAGAACGACCATGAATACTCGGCGCTGCTCATGGGCCTGGCAGACATGCTTTTGGTGCCAAATTTACGGGTGAGCACGTGTGTGCTCGAGTGCTGTGTGGAGTCTAATGTCTGCCAGACCAAGAGAGAGATAATGACACAGGCAGTCGTCTTGCGAAGTCTATTGCCATTGCTGGAAGCCGAACGCCAGGGAACTCGATTTGTATTCCAGCTTATTGCAAAGGAGTACCGCGTTATGACAAGTGGATCATCGCTCTTTCAGCGCCACCGATTTCTACGAGGGCATAGCACCGCTGGTAAAGCACTTGCTCGTTTCTGTCGTATCGTGGGAACCAAGTGGCTGTCAGAAGTTCTAGGGAAGAGTGCCCACACAGCTACATCACATCTCAACGATACCGTTGTGTTCAGCCTCGACCGTCTACTCGATAAGCTTGTTGTGCACATCGAAACGCTTCCTGCTGAGATTGTGATCTTGTGCCGCGCATGTGCCAAGTTGTTTCAGGAAAACGAAAGTACTGAAAGCCGGGAGCTGGAACTGGATGCAATGCATCTTGTTTTCTTCAACCACTTCCTCGGACCAGCATTGATCTTTCCGAGGGAGAACGAGCTTGGACTTGTGCCGTCACTGGAGCAACAAACTGCGTTGCAAGTTATAGCTCATCAAGTTGTGGCCTTTGCAGACCAATGGATGACGTCCACAAACATGGATAACAATCTGCGGTCTCGAAGCATTCGTGCTGACAGTCTTCCTAGCACCATCTCGTCTCGGACTCGAAGCGCAGCAATGTGTCGATACAAATACGAAGCTTTGCTCGACAGAGTCTCGCAGTCGACTACAGTAGCGAGTACGTACGATCCGAACGAGAAGAAAGCCGACATTGACTGTGAGCTCATGGGCTTGTGCCTCATGAACATCCACAGTCTAATGGACAGCTACTACTTCGCTTTCAAGCAAAGAGTTCTTCAGACTCAAGCCTCCGTAGTTAGCAAGCAGACACAACGAGACACACTGAACCGTGTCTGTCGTCTACTAAAGGCGCTTGGGCAGCCACTCGCCAGCATTCATGAGTACGTTGAGTACGCACGAGCCGAGCTGATGACCGATCCACTGCTCTGGAACGGGTTTAGTTTCCAGGAATGGCAAGAGCGAGCCCAGACATCGAGGTCGCCTTGTCCACTGCGTTCCACCTGTCAACTCCGTGATGATCCAGTCCTGCCTTCAATCGTCACGATGGAGCAAGTGATGCTCGAACAAGGCGACAGCTCACTTTCGCCTCATGACGTGGACTATCTCCGTACCTGCTCTAGCTAGGTACCCTAACGTTGAACTTGAAGTGGTTAACTGGTTGCTCACGTGGTGTACACAGACGATCGTGTGCGACAAGACAATTGATTTTGATCACGTGGTCGAAATATGTCGCTTTTTCATCGCGCGACATGTACATAAAACGAGCCGCGTAATCGGATGTCGTCTGAAGGTGTGCCACACAAGAAGAGCTCTTCGAGCCAATGGCGACGAACAACGACGAGCCGTCGAGCGCCAATGCCGCAAGCCCCTTGCTAAGTGACCGCCTGTCGGTGCTCTGTCTCCAGGCCGAATACGTGGGGAATGTCAATGGCAACTTCATGCACGGCATCAAGTCGCTGGATACGCGGTACGAGGCGCTGCGACGCGTACGAGGGGACGGCAACTGCTTCTTCCGGAGCTTTATCTTTACTCTCTGTGAGCATTTGCTGCCATCTCAAGGCGCAGAAGACAGCAACGCGGCACTCCGGTGTCGTATCCAAGACAAGATCCAGAAGAGCAAGAGCGAGCTGGTGGCGATTGGATACAGTGACGTGGCCATTGATGCGTTCTGGGAGACGTTTGTCGACTACTTGGCTGCTATGGAGACGCGGTCGTATGCAGAGCTGGTGCAGGATTTTCAGACCGAAGGCGGGGAAGCAGAGTATCTCGTGTGGTACATGAGACTCCTGACAGCTGGATACATGAAGAAGCATGCTGAGAGGTTCCAGCCCTTCATTGATGGACTCTGTCCGGGGCAGACGGTGGCACAGTTCTGTGCAACGGAGGTGAGTGCGAGTCGACACGGGGAATGACTCGGGATGGACGTGCGTGGTTGATTGATTGATACCATGCTGCTGTGTTGCTCGTGGTGACTTGCTCAGGTGGAACCAATGGGCAAGGAGTGTGACCAGCCGCAGATTGCAGCCTTGACTGAAGCTCTAGAGGTGGGCGTGAAGATCGAGTATCTGGACGGAAGTGCGGGTGCTGGGGAACCACTCCAGAGCTACGTGTGCTCAGCCGTTGATGCGACCGAGCGACAAGTTCCTGTCTTCATTACGCTTTTGTATCGACCGGGACACTACGATATCTTGTATCCTCGAGAACGTGGAAAAGAGCACGAGCACGAAACGTGACCGTTGGGGACGCTGTGGACGCTTCACGAACACCATGGCGACTTTGCAACTCGGTCCTGCATTTTAATCATTTCAACACGATCGGCTACGTTGTCCACGTACGAGAAAAGAGACGACTTTATGACATCCCGCGTTCCTCTTGGCACCTGAACTCCCGGAAAAAGACAACAAACAACCACAAGTCCAGCTTCATGTGTCTACTTGGTCTTGTTGAACAGTGCCACATCCTCCAAAGCAACAGAGTGCGCCGCACTGCACAGCTGCGCCACGTTGGTCATGGTCTTGCACACACAAGCGGGTAGACAAACGTAGTAGCACAGCTGCAGTAACAAAATCGACACAAACACAACGTGCAAGAAACAAGTTAGCGATACATCCACCTTATAGCAAACCAAAGCTAAGCAGAAAAATGCGTGCCTGGATCACAGGAACGTTGATGCCCGGTATCATCAACGCAGGGTCAAAGTGAAGCACGTAGAGGAGAATGTAAAAGAGCTCCGTGCCAACACAGCAAAAGCCAAAGAACGGGTAGCAGCTGTAGTAGAAGCGCAACAAGAAGTTGCGCTCGGCGGAGACGACCTTGTGGTGGCCACGCGACGAGTACATGTGCAACCAGTGGCTCGAAAAGTCAAGAGCCAGGAGGTAGATGAAGCACACCATGTACTGCGGGTACAAGTGGGACAGCACGACCAACAGCCCCGCCGTCGAGCAGCGATCGGTCACCATGTCCAGCACAGCACCAAACGAAGAACCTATAATCATCCAGCAAATGAGTCAATTAGTCAGTCAATTAATCATCAGCAGAAGCCACACGGACGGAATTTAAACGATAAAAAGTGCTTTTTATATCACACATTTATTTCTACAAATATCCACAATAGCGAAGACCGTACATTGATTGCAGAGGCGAGCAAAAAAGCCGTCAAAGTAGTCGCAGGTGAAGCTCAGGACGTAGCACAGGACGCTCGTCTTGTAGTCCGAGCGCGCAATGGCCAAGCTATAGAGCGATAGCACCACACGCATGTAGCCAATGAGGTTGGGCACGTACAAGAACACGTCCGTCACCGAGCGGCGTTTGCTCTGCAGCTCGGCCATGACGACGAGCGCTTGACTTCGACTTTTTTTATGATGCAAATACTAACCACGCGGCTGAGGCAGTCGGAAAATAGCGTGGTGCACATCACTTTCGAGCGTCCGATTGAATGTATCGTTCGGTTGTTGATATCCGAAGAGCTCTTTATGCGTTCCTGAAGGTTTCCAAGGTGGTCCACATCAACGTCGCGTCTTTTTTGCATTTAACAGTCACACAATAACTGAGACCAATGGCGGCTGCTCCACCAGAGGTCCTGCGTCTGTACCCAGACGCTTTGCGAGACTCTTATGCTGCGGCCTACTCGCTGTTAGTCGTAGCTCCTCTCACTGCTTTGGCGTCTCGTCTCCTGCTTTATCGTGGAAAGAAGACCACGTCTCTGCACGTTTATCTCGTATCGTTTGCGGTCCCGATGCTCGCTGTGTGGCTACCAACGGTATACAATAAACAACATGTCTAGTATCTGATGATTGCTATTGTTGATCACGGTTCTGAGACTTGATATTGATGTGTGCGTGTGTGTTGATGTGTCATTTCTCATTCGTGTCGTGACGATGTATCGATTTTGTCGGGTGTTTTTTGTCCAGTGGATATGGCCTGAGAAAAGGAACGTGTACGAGTTCTTGACAGTATGTGCTTTGACTTTTTTTTTCTGGACCAATGATGGATTCTTTGGTGTATTATCTGCTTTGATGACGAGAAAATGCGCGGCCTTTTCTTACCATTGGTGCCTAAACTGTTGTGGTCAGATGAGTCGATCCGAGACGCCATACCAGTGGTCACAGAAGTACGCGTTGTTTCGGAAGCACTTTCAGCGGGGCGCCCTATCTCATAAAGACTGGAAAAAGGTGGACTCAGCGTATGATGTACGTGGAATACTGTAAAACGCTGTCTTGGATCGCAAGTTTGAGCAATGAGAAAAGATAGCGGTTTGTGCCGTTGAAATGTCGAAACGTGGCTGACATTTCGTGTTTTTTGGCTTCGGGCTGTGGTGGCTGTTGCCTCGATGTTGATTGTTGATTGACTGTCTTGAGGAACCAGAACATCTACAGCGACAAGGCGCGCTACTTGTACGACTTCTGGGGCCCCGGCCAGAACATGTCGTTCTACGAAACGATATTCAATGTCGGCCTTTTCTATCTGCTCTGGGTCGCTATCATGTACGGAGACAAGACATGATAGGCGAGATACGGAATTTGCATTTTTCTTACTGCGTACGCATGATCATCGCTGCTGCTTCTCATTTTCCTGAGCAGCTACGCAGTGACAACACCCAGAGCAGCTCAAGCTGCTAGCAAGCTTCCGTTTGTAGGACTAATGGCTGTACGTGAACGCAAGAGCTTGGACTCTTTTGTTCTGCTTTTCTGGTTCATTGCTGTGGGGGTGTTGATTTGTCGTGTAATGGTCCGTAGCTCATTTGCGTGGAGCTTTCGGTCCAGCTGACCCATTATGATCCGGTGATCAAGGAAATGGCGCCGTTTACAACACCGCGTGAATTTCTGCTGTGGTGTCACTGGTATTTCCCGATTCTTGTGTTTGCGACGGTTTCGATAAAGAAGGTATACTTTGTCGACATGGAGAAACACCACCAGCACGTACTCATGTACATGCTGGAGAAGAACATAGTGAGTGCATGTCTTTTTCGAGCGCACATGAGTGAAATCGTTGCGTAAGAGACACTGACAGCACTTGTTCTTTTGTATCAAAGAAAACGGTCGAGGAGCTCCGACATGTGAACCGAGAACTAATGCCCGAATCGGCGACTGTCAATACCAGTTTGACGAAAATCAGGAATCAACTGTGAGCGATCGCAGCCAGCTTGTTTGCGCTGATGGACTCGCAGAAAGCTGATAGTGCTGAAGGAGCAGACGTAGATGTTTGTGCATCCGTGACGTCTGTTAATGCTCTGTGCTTGGGACACAGTAACGGGCTGGCATCGTTAGGCTACTGGTGTCGTATCTGGTATGTGATAATCGCTTTACTGAGCTGACGTTCCAATGCTTTTGGTCGCAAACGAAATGAAACAAGTTAGTTGTGATCACGAATGCTTTCATCATTGTTTTGCGTTTCTTTGTGTTCTTGACAAGACAGTGTCGCTCCACCTGTATAGGAAGCATGTCGACAATGAGCGTGTGTGGATTACATCTACATCACTTTCGTCAATCCTTTTACCCTTACGGAGAAGATGTCGCTGAGGAAGATCGAGTGTCACAATGTTGGCTATCCAAAAGGAAGTTTACAACGACCACGTCTACACGCACACAGCATTTTTCTGTGTGCGTTTCTCACACATATTGGTCTATCTCCTGTAAAGCTCTACATACATGCAAAAGAGCTGCAGTATCGGTGGAACATCTTCAAGACCAAATCCGGGAGCAATCAAAAGCTTTCAGGCTGCAGCTCAAACAGTTGGTATTTGCGATAGCAACCTCTGATTGCCCATCTACAGCTATATCTTGACAATTACTTGTGTGATCGCTTAGGTTGTGGGTTCAATGCCACCGATAACCAGGAAGTTGGACGTATGCTTCTTCGATGGTATCGACTGCTCTTGTCGATTCAGGATTCGCACATGAGGTTGTAAGAATCTGCAAATTCGCTTCAAGGTTCATCAAAACTTGCAACTGGAGCCTTCCAAAGATGCACAAATATCCTTGCTTGGTTTCGTTGACATTATGTATTCTCTTCGTGTCTTTCGGCTCTAGACGTAGCACACATGTTCCAGAAGAGAAGTTTGCGGTCGCTTTTTGCTGATCACATTGCTCGGATTGGCGAGCCCGATACACTTGTGGTAAGATCATGAAAACAAAAACGGTAAAGGGCGTGTCTTATTGCGTATATCCTTCGGTGCACGAAACATGTGTGCATTCATATACAAACATATTTCTTCGTAGACACTCTCACGCAGCTGACAGGATCGACTGTAAACGTAGGTATCAAATACTCGGACGTTCGAAAGACCAGCAACTTCGGTGCTTAGCTCGCGTCAATGTATGGTCAGCGCTCTCCAAATCAACATGTTCATGGAAAAACTGCAGAAACGATAGAACTTACCAAGCGCTATGGGATGTGCCTGTTCTCGTCAATACTCAGAAAGAGAAGCTGATGAATCTGAGCTTATCGAAAATCGGTCAAGAATTATGCAAGACTTAACGAATGAGCCCGAGTCATTCAATCAGGACTGGTCATGCGATCGTACGCTTGAACAGCTGGTACGGACTGGACGGTCATCATTACTTACGAGATCAGTATGTGGTGACTCGTAAGTAATGATGATGCATGAGGAAAGCGAAAGGCTGAACAGTAGTATACTTGCTTCAACGTAATCTTTCATCGACACGGGAACAACTCAACGATTTAGTTGCCACATCATACTTCATCTCTGGACACTTCGGCATCTCCTTGTCAAACCAATTACTACTTTCCGATCGGTGGGTCCCAGTGATGCCCGTCCGTCATAGTTACATACAAAACTTGTCTCCGTTGTCATTTTGTGCCAGCAGTAGCTGATGGTCAACCCCTTAGTCGAGCTTCTCCTTTGCAGTCGGGATGTGGATCACATTAACGCCTGTCACCTTAAGCAGCGTCTCTGGCGATCGCAGCACGCGCACGAGCGTCTCGAAAAGACGTACTTCATCCTTCAAGTGCCCCACATACTGCTCATGCCGTGCGATGTAGATTCCCTCAATGAGCTCGAGCACGTCTCCAGGATCCGGCAATTCGTCATACTGGATCCGGAATAGCTTGCCGCGAAAAAATACCTTTACAGCACTGCCTACCGTGACCACCACAAAAACGTACACAGCAGTGAGTCCGTACGAGCTAATGCCAAGCGTCGTCAGTCCTTGCACGATTCTATCCGAAACTGCTACAATGCAGAACGGGTAAGTAGCTGAGCAGTAGTTCGAGCCACTTGAGCTCACAACAGGCTCGATATTCCACCACGTAGATCCGTTCAACGAGTGTTTGCTGACTGCCAACGATTGCATCTGAGTAGAACGCTTCAGCACGCCTCTACTTGCCGTGAGCTGCACGACAGCAGGAAAGAAATCATCAATTTGAACAGAAAGCAATGTCGTGCCCTCGCCATCCGTTACCGTTTGCTTGATCATTGGGATCAGTGCGATCCGATGTTCATCCGTCATTCTAGTTGAGTATTTGGCAGAAATCACTTCGGCATTGGTCGGACCGGGTCGCGTAAAAGTAAAGGTGATTGTCCACTTGAGCGTCTTCGTAGACTGCAACTGCGCCACGAGTAGGTCCATACGTGGAGGAGAAAGCCCCCACGCGTTGTTGGAAAACACATGAAACTCAATGCACTGTGTCGATGCGCTGTCCGTATTCAGGTCCACCTCGCACGACGGGCTGTTGCTGTCGCTGTTTGAGTACAATTCGTTCATCGTCTCCTTCGCATCTTCAATACCAAACTTAACGGTTGTCAACGTCACGTCATTTGCAGTTGTGCTGGGGTTGATGGAACTAAACATGGCCAGCGGGCCAACAAGGCAGATCAGCAGAAATAACAGCATCACACCGGCCGACATGATTTTCGTCCTCATCGGCTGGCGCCTCTTGCCTTGAAGGACGTCTGCTTCCTCGACTCGTCTTTTCATTATACCCTTTACACCAAACACATGTGCCGCAGTGTCTTCCAAAAGAATCCAATGCTGCCAACTCAACGACGTTTTCATGCACAGGTAGTCAAGCAGAGCCCGCATCTCAAACAGGAACGGTGCCAGCATCATGAGACCAAACAACGTCTCGCTTATTGCTGCCATACGGGTAGTTTTCGTGTGATTGTAGCGGCTGCCGAGATACGCCGGGTACCCATAACGTATTTGCAGTGCACCCAACCAGAGGTAAACACACTGGAAAAGATAAAACGCGACAAGTGCAGGCCGTCGCTGAAGGTAGATATTGCTGACGCTTGGAAGCAAATACCATACGGCCAAGTGGAGCACGAACGTGTACGAATGCTGCAGGATCACTTTGGACTGAAGCGACGAGCAGACGTAAGCCACTCGGTCCCAAATGATAAAGATCAGCTCCGTTAACACCAGCAGGACGAGATAGCCAGAAAGTAGTGACGATGAGGATACTCGACTGTCTGCATCAGCTACAGACGTACCGCTCGAATCTACCTCACCAAGTTCCTTGTAGAAGATGACTGCATACATCGATGATAACAGCAGCACGGATAGGGATGCAGTGTAGAAGTCGCGACCAGGTTTTTCACCCGTGATAGCCACTTGTATGTCCTTATCCCACTGAGCGGGTGGCTTGCAAATGACGGACTGGAAATACGCGTGCAGTTTTGGGAACGTCTCGGCAAGCCACGACTTCTTGGCGCCAGCATGAAACCCGGTTTCTGATACATCCGCGTCCATGTCTACCTGCTTGGACACAATATCGTCTCCCCCCACGCTAGGAGAACCGGACGCGTGGTCAAGATACTCGTTCGATCGACGTGACGAGGGAGAACGCGCAACGTTATCATCGAATGGTGCAACTAATGCTGCCTTCGTGTCCGTCTCCAGCTTTTCTTGCTCAAGCAATTCCTGTAACACCTGAGTCGCAACTTCGTTACAAAGTTCCGAGTCGTTTACACGAACAACACCGGCATCCATCGACGCCCTTCCTACTGTCAAAGGTTTCCTGCTGCTGCTCCAGGAAGCAGGCTCGTGACCGCGCAAGCTTTTGGCTTGCTTGATCTTTTTCCCGCTCCCCGGGTCGTCGTAAGAGAAAGCGTCATCGATCGAGTCGCGTGAAGAAGGAAAAGATGACCGCAGTTCTCGCATCACTTCCGACTTATATCGCGATGAGGCCTGATCGCCAACATCATCTCCACTGTAGGCTACACTCCAGAATCCTTGCATTCGAAGCTCTCGCCGATGCCACAGCAGAAGAAGCACGACATAAAAGTCCCATTGGAGACCGTCATACACTGATGTAACGTTCGCAATCGCAATGCCGTCGAACTTGTACAATCCAAGTAGCGTCATTGGTTGGATGGACCTGGCGTTGGCGGCTGCGTCGGTGACCGTCGTGCAATACGGCTCGAAGCTCGGGTAGAAATAACCACGGCTACTCATTCCTGTACAGAAAACTGAAAGCTGAAACACATACCGCAATCCAATGATGCAGCACGACTGTCACCATGAACATAATTTGCGTTAGCAAGTATGTTTACTACTGTCAGGCTCGGTCATCTGATAAGCACGTACGTAAGCGAGCAAGTGGGTCCAAACTGGCGAACTCGGGCGCGGGTTTTCAACAAGCAAGATCGCAAAAGCAGAGACGACATACACCATATTCAGGAAGTCCGCCTGCCAACATACAAACACCACATAAGCAAACACCACACACCGACTGTGTACGAAACTAGCGTACCTGTACAGTGAAGCAGATGATCAGGGCCAAGCAGCAGATGTTGGCGCTCTCGCTGCGTACACTATTGATGACGAGCTGCACAATTTCTGACAGAGAAGGCTCATGCAAGTCATCTTCCTCGTATGGAGTCGTCTCCAGTTTGAAACCAGCGTTTTGGATATCGTACAGAAGCCTGTACAAGGGAATTCGCCACAAAAATTCGCCCTTGCTCTCAAACTCTTCATCTTCCGGATCACCAAGTGTGCTTCCATCCCCAGTCACACTACTCCATTCGCTCTTAGTTTCATCGTAGTTCGACTCGACATCGCCACCACGATCCGGTAGCGCTGTATCCAGAGGATTTGGTAGATCACGGTCCTTTAAGCAGCTGATGATGCTGTCATCCAAGGATTCGCGAGGAACGGCATAAGCCATGGCCGCTAGAAACATGTTGAACTCCTTCGTCAGCTCTGACTGGAACACATACTTGATATCCCCGCGGCGACCAGCGTGGTGTACAATAATCTCAAAGCAGTACAGCGATGGTGACATGTCGTCGAATTGCACCTTCGAGTCACTCAGTTTAAGTGAAGTAACATCGCGCCATTTAAACGAAGTTTTCAAACGTTTCCTGTGTTTTCGACTACGGTGAATCAGCGCTCTTTCTTCGTCTTGGTAAAACACCAAGTGACTCGAGTCGAGCACGACGTACCGATGAAGATACATTGCCTTCATCCAGGAAACCAAGAAGCCAAAACGAGGTGCCGGAAGACTTTCCCGATGGTATTTCATCCAACCTGCCGTCGTTGTGCCACTCAGATTTAACGAGTACGTTGCGATGGGGTCACTGGCAGAACTATACGGACCTTCTCCCAACCGGGAAACAGCGCACACTTTGAACTGGTAACTCGTTCCTGGACGTAGGCCTTCGATTCTAGCCTCGCAACACCCGCCTCGGATCTCTACGATATCTCCAAAATCACCAAGTAAAGTGAGCGACGGAAACTGCTGTCGCGAAATGCGGTAGTAGCGGATTTTGTGGCAACTGCCTGCTGGCTTCTGCCACGAAAGTGTTGCTGAATTCTGAGTTCGATCAGTAGCAACAGGCTTAAGCGGTGCCATTGGCGGCAAGTTATGGTGAAGCCCCTGTGCAATATCCATCAGCTCCTCAACTTTGTGAACGAGCTTTGAAACAATCATTTTTAGACGCTGAATAGCTGCATTCTTCTCCTTCTTCATTGTATACCACTGCTCTGTTCGTCGGCGGTAGAAATCGCGCACAATTGCTTCGCGTCGGCTCGATGCACGACCCTGCTCGCCGGCTAGGATAGCAAGTACAGTCGGATAAGTTGGCGCAATGACGATCTCGCACTGAATCGAGATCAGCACAAAAAGAGCAATCAGCCCGTAAGGAGTCTTGTTTGCTTCGACACCGAGAAAGTTGGCCACCGTCATGCAATTATCGTCGTCACCCGATTTTGTCCCAATGATGCAGTCACTCAGAGCAGCATAAACAGAGGGCACGTTGATGATAGTAATAACAAACAAGTGACCCCAGTTCCACTTCCGCATGTACTGGATCCACAAATTTGACGGCTCACGTGCTTCATCCAGTCGATACAGCATCACCAGCGCACCCAGTAAATACGCGATCGATACGACACCGCCATGCTTCGCACCAAATACGAAGACCAGAAAAAGAAGCAGTGGCAACCAATTTACCAGAAAGGCATGCTCAAGAAAATACCAAGCGTACTTCCGTGTAAGCGTGACGTACGCGCTTCCTTCCGCAGATACTGCAGTTTCTTTTGAGCCCATGCCTTCCGCGCTTTCATCGATGAATCCGCTGTCATGATTCGCCTGACGTACAGACGCTGGTTCATCGACCACGTCCTCCTTTTTTTATCTTCGGTGAGATTTTCAGAATGAGGTAGGAGATACACGCCCAAAAGTACCACAAAATCTGCCATCGACGCCCACTTGTGTTGGTCACTTGGCACCAACCACGTCTCATAAGTACTCGACATTTTCCGCCACGGAAACGTTTCCTCCATTTTAATCTTGAAGAACGGAGGCAACCACAACATGATCGAATACTCCAACACGACTACCACAGAAAGAAGCCACGCCAATGCCCACCATCGTTCGCAAACTGTCGAAGGGTACGCGAACATCATACTGCGCACAATCAGCAGATACATTATCGCGATAACGTCTTGATGAATGAAGCACGACACGGTCAGCAAGAGCATCACTAAGTTCACGGATGCCTTACTGGCATACGTAGTCCCAAATCTGCGGAGACACGAGATGAAGGTCTTGCTATCAGAAAGGGAAGACGACTGAAATGTGAGGTTCAGCAAATTGCTATCTGGCTCGTTTCCTGACTGTCTTTCCGAAATGAGAGACGGGACAACTTCGTGATCATACATGCTTGTTCGAGCTTGGTCTTCGTCGCCATCGACTTCGCATGAAGACGTCCGGTGGTATACGTCCATGTTTTTTGCTGCATAGAGCGCGTATTGCTCTTCGAATCGCATCGTCGATTTACCCAATTCTAGTAGCCAACGCACCGACGACGACGAGTCAAAGTACTGCGCCATACGCTGTAGCGAGCACATGAAAATGATCAAAAACTCCCCGGAGAGCAAATCCCATAGCGCCGACTTCCCTACGCTGTCTCTGTCGTATCGATCGTTCAAACGAACCATTCCGACCCAGTCGCTGTTTTCACTAGATTTAGAGAGCACGCTGCTGTTCACCGTACCCGACTGTGCTGTGAAAGTGCTCACCTGAATCAGGTATTTCAGGAGCATCGATAGCGCTGCGAGCCAAAACAAGGGTAGCCATAACTGCGTCCACGCTTCAGTCAAGGCACGGCCGGCTACAAGTGTAAGAACATAAAGCCAACCGACGAAGCTGATTTGGTCGAGAGCGACCCACATCGTCACAACGACCAGCGTGATCGCACTAAACGATATTAGCAGATGCTGCACAGTTTCCATGCAGAAACAAATGAAATGTGCCACGCGACTTCGACCGGCAGTGAAGAAGTCAAACGGCATGCTATTTTTCGTCATGGACGAAAGCTGCCAAAAGCAGAGGCTCGTTAGAACTGCTGTAGGCAGTAAGTATACAAACACGTCCGAGATTCCTCCGGTGAATGCGTGATACTCTAGTCCAACATCTTGGGCTGAAAATGACGGTGTGAACAAGTGCGATTCCATGTAGGTTGACACCTTTTCGAACTGGTAAATGTATCGCATCACTAAAACCACAACTTCAATCAGCAGAGCTAATGACCACAATAGTCTCAACGCCACCGACGTTCTTGCCGCAAAAGTCCCCAATTGATAACCAAAAATGACAAAGAACAACGCCAACTGCACGCCCCCGATCATGTTGGTGCTTAAACTTGTTGGCCCACTTTCAAACTGAACAGCCACGACAATAAAAGCTGTGTGGCAAAGCAGCACTCCGCCAATACGGAAACAGTTGTCGATTTCCACGACCAAGCGGGACACAAAGAATACGGGCTTTTGTCGAATGTGATCCATGGTCCGCACGCGTTCTTCAATCGCTCCACTCTTCGTTACATAGATCACAAGCTGAAACACCACTTGAAAGATAATCAAAAGCTGAGCGCTAAACAACGTCGGCCACAATGATCCCCATGTGTACATCTCAGGATGGAAGCACTGCAAACCGATAAGCTCCATCCCAGAAGTCTCCGAGCAATCGACGTTCCAAATAAAAACAGCAAAGCATGCCCCAAGCGAATACAGCAGTAGTACGCGCCATAATCGCTGTCGCTTTTTGAAAAAAAGCATGAGCAGCGCAGCGAGCACGAGATATCCCACTTGAAGAAACGACACCTCAGTGCTCAGCGCAACAACTACACACAAACAATTTTTGCGACGTCGATCAGTAACGTGCCACAAATCAACCCTGGCAAAAACGCATACTCAAAATCGTAGCAAGAACCAGCACATCCACATGCAAGATAACAACTCGCTTCGCATCCAGAATCCACACGTGTGCAGCAGATCGCCAGCCTAGTTGAAGTTGCTAGAATCGTGACAAACAGTTGCGTTACCGAATGTATGTGCTATCAGTGACACGGTGTCCATATCAACCTTACCCGGTGTATGTTTGCCAGACGCACGAAGTTTACATAGCTTGCTCTGTCCTCAAACACTCCGTCGCCGTTGTCGTCATCGTTCTCGGGAACCTTTGCCGTGTTGCGACGCTGCCGAGACTCACGGAGGACGTCTTGATAACGCCACTGTGTTCGGATGGACAAGAGCATAAACACGAGGCAAAGCGTATGCGCACCAATATGTAAACACGGGTAGTCAAAAACCCGCAAACCGTACACCGACAAGTCACCGGGCACAAAGTTGACAGTAAGGTTGCTCGTGTACTCCGTCAGCGCCATCAGTGTTCCGTATGCAATGAACAGCCACATAAAGATCGATGACGACAGCAATCCAAACACCGCAATTGTCGCAAATGCTAGCCCTAACAAAGGGGCAGACAAGTATGACGGATACGATACGCACCACACGATTGCCGCAGCGCTGCCCAGCAAGAGACCCCCATCGCGAGCAAAAGCGCGCACAATGATTGATTGCTTGCTCAGTAATTCTGGAATATCGTCACATTCCGTCCGATTGCGTCGATCAAGCAGTGCTTGCGCAACGCCACTATTGACGGATCCAAGGTCAACAGCCATAGCACCGTTGATCGACAAACCAGACGCATGGCTTCTAGTACCACCAGCTCTATCCGCTTTTGCTGCTTCTATGTGCAACGAACGCAACTTGGCACAACTAACGAAGAGCAAGAACAGGGATCCAGCAAAGAGAAAGTACTGCCACTGCACACCGCGGTCACGAAAGCTAGCGAAACCAGAATATGTAGCGATTGTCCGCACATTCTCATCGTCGTTCAACAGCTCCAGATGGCACACATACCTAAGAACATACCAACAAAAAGGTAAATAGAGAAAGAGACCACTGCATTAGCCCCAGATCATTCCACCAATCCATCGACAACGCAATGCGTACCACGCGAAGATAATGACAAGGCACCAAACCAACAATACGTTCGTGACTACTGGGCCCAAGAAAAGGCTAACAAAAGTCGCGCTCGAGTTGCGAGCAACAAGTTCCTGCGCAGTCACCCTCCGGACACATACTGTGTATACAATCAAGCGTGCAACCAGCACTAGATAGAGCACTCCCGAAGCAAACGCCGGTACCGACACGGACGTGAGAAACAGCAGCAGTGCCGTCAAGAGCTCCACTGCCTGGATCACCGAGCGACGGCAATCTCGCTTGCGTTCCCTGTCGTTTCTAAAGTGCTCGCCCATTTCGAACAAGTCCAAGTGCTGTCGCCTCGTGTCTTCCTTATCTTTTTCCACAGACAGCCGCACGTTTCGTGTCCGTGTTAGAGCCCAATAGTGCGCGCTACTGCTCACGAATACGAGCACGTCGACTCCAATTGTCTGCAAGTACTCAAGCACAGTCTTGTGCGTCCGTGAGAAGCCAATCACTTTCGACACGTCTGCAGTATCTTCACCATCTCGACTGTCAATGCCTTGGATCACGCCGTGACACACACACGCGACAAGCGCTACGACCAGAGTCAGTAAAGTGAGAGCTCGGGACTCGAACGACTGGTGCACGACGCTAGAGCAAAACATGAAAGCATAGATTAAGGACACGACAGTCGCACGCACGCTAGTGGCTAGTAAGAGACACGCAGCAAAGAGCACATTGGTTGCAACGACAGTATGGTCAGAAGTCGAGGTCTTCGGACGGTGGGACGAACGTCGTCGAGACGGCGGCACCGATGACGGCGGGGACGACACGTGGTCGTAGACTTGACCAACGGCGTCTTCAGACGGTGTAGGAGTGAGCACGATACGTTCGTGGCCGTCGTCTACCAGCGGTGGGGACGCGGCCGCGTGCGGCGGCGACCGCTGCATATGTGACGGGTGTGAGCGGGAGGGCGAGTTTGCTTTTCTACCAATGAGTGAGGCGCATGGTTGTGCAGTGAAATGTGTGACAGGGTGGCTTCGTTTTCATTGGCCGCGGGAGCAGTTGATTAGGATGATGCGAAGGATGAAGTGGTAAACATGTGAAACATACGATTCGAGAGAAAGCTGTCTCAGACCAGTGGTTGCTTTTAGCTTTTGGTGGTGGTGTTAAGAAAAAGGGCAGTCATAACGACACGAGTTGGGTTTTGGGGAGCCGCTAAACCGCCAAGTGGGACTGACTATTCAGCCGGTATCGATGGCCGGAGGTTTTTACCAAACACTATAGCACACATCGTGAGCTTCTCATTTTACCAATCACATCGCAAAGGAAGGAGCCCATGTCATGTGCCCAAGACGCTAACATGCCTTTACACAATCGCCATACCCCGTATGAACCAAAGCTCACCAAGGTGACACGCGCTCTCTGTTCCACATCACGCTGCAGATCTTAAATTGCTGAATACGTCTTCGTGATAACGCAACAACCGTTTGCCAGGGACTTTCTCTCATGACAGCTGGGCGGGAAGCAAGTTTATTCAAGCTTGACGCCAACGAGGCTAACACCACTATAGAGCACACCCGAGCAGCCGAGCACTCGTTGACAGACAACACACTGCTTTACCACTTACTGGTCATCCAAATAGGGCAAAAGTGCACGACGAACTCGTTTACGAGACTACAGGGCAGATCCCCAACCGTCTATTCGCAGACCTCCATCCATCCAAGACTCCCATCACCTCCCTCAGATTCCAAAAGCAGCATGACAAGTCGTTCACACCAGCGCTTGTATCTTGCAGCAAAAGAAAACAAACATATCCATGACGCGTAGTACACGCAACACGCAAGCAAGCACGCACAACACTCAGCTACCAGCGGCATCTCATCAGTTGACAAAACACGCCAAGCGTCGTCTCACACTCTTCAAAAAGTATCTTATTTAGCAGATATTAAATTAGACATTCCTCCATCCATTCCCCCACCACTTGGTCCTTGGTGATCAAAGTGCTTTTTTCCATCGCGCCAGCCATTACCACCACCACGACCTTCCCCACCAGTTCATAATTGATTTTCGACACCTGCCCTAGCGCTTCTGGTGGTTCACGTAGCGCAGCGCCAGTAGCGCCAGTACCCGAAAGACCGCGAGGAAGAGCAAGACGTAGCAAAAGTCGGTCCACATGTCGCTGTGTTTGATGTTGAAGGTGTCGTCCAGGTAGCGCTTGACCGTCGTGTCACCCACTGACGGCGGGGCATTCCGTAGAGGTTGGCACGCGAGTTCCGACCGCACGTTGGTGTACCCCTTCGTAACCTCATCATACACTGGATCTTCAGGACAGTTGCCAAACACGAGCGAGACGAGGATCGAGAGGGAATAGCGCTGTGGAGTGACGTCATAGAGCCATCGGTAGCGGTCCGGGATGGCAGTAGCAGGCGGGTTGAAGCCGGCAAAGAGCAGGAAAATGGCGTTAATGAGGACGCCCACGACGGCAACGACTTCGCCACTGGACAGCAAGTAGACGAGCAGCTGGCCCAGGAACGTCTGCATGAGCACGGAGAGGGAGATGTTGAGCCAGTAGAGCACAGCCGTGCTGAAGGACCAGATGCCGAGCAGAGGGAAGAAGACTATGGTGAAGAGGAGACTGCTGCCAAAGACGTAGGGGAGCTCGACGAACGTGATGCCGAGGAAGTACCAGAGAGTGTTGTACGTCTGCGCGTCGCGCTCGCGGTAGTAGACAGCTCGTTCTCGCAGGGTGAAGGGCAGACAAGCGACGTACGTCACGTATCCTTGATACAGTGTCGTCATGAAGATGATACCCACGGCTGAGTTCAGTCCTTGGTACGTTGTGTAGTCGGCGTTGATGAGCACGAGACCGAAGATGATGGCCAGGATAAGCGCAAGCCAACATCGAGTCAAGTTGTACGACGGTGTCCGCCAGTAGATGGATTGGAATCGCTGCATGATCATTCGGAGTTGCATCCAGGAAGTGGCGGCGCGCTTGTGCTGGAACACTAGCTCCGGTAGACTGTCGGGTGCAGGGGTTGTCACGCCAGGTTCAGCCAGATCAGCCAGCAACACTTGGTGCTCCATGCTGTCGCGGAAGTGCTGCACGAAATCCACATCCGCTGCTGCATCGGTAATGACCTTCTCACCTGCGCCGGCAACTCCAGCACCGATACACTCCAGCATCCACGTAGCCGGATTCTGGCCTAGAGGTAAAGGTGGGACCTCTGGAATGGCCTCGAAGTAATCGACGAGATGCCCACACATGCGTTCATCGGGCTGAACGTTGTCCAGATCACCAAAGAAAACCATCTCGCCGCCACACTTCAGTAGCAGCAGACTATCGAACAGGAAGAAGACGTCTGATGACGGTTGGTGAATCGTGCACACGACAGTGCGGCCACTGCTAGCCACCTTACGCACGCCATTCATGATGGCCTTGGCAGAGTGAGCATCCAGACCACTAGTAGGTTCGTCCAAGAAAAGCACACTAGGCTGTGCTGCTAGCTCCACACCGATGGTCAAACGCTTCATCTGCTCTTGTGAGCGTCCACGAATGATCTTGTCGGCTATTGCGCGCAAATCGAGCAAATCCAGGCATTCCTCGACGGATGCCAACTTGGCTTGCTCCGACACTTTGCTGTCTTGGCGCAAAAATGCGCTGAACGTTAGTGCTTCTCGGATCGTGGCTCCTTCCGAATGAACATCCTGCTGCTCGCAGTACCCTGTACAACGGCGAATCGCGAGCTGAGTCGCGGGATATCCGTTAAGCAGGACGTCACCACGAACCGTGCCTCCCGTCTTACGGCCAGCGATCACGTCCACCAGCGTTGTTTTCCCGGCTCCCGATGACCCCATGAGTGCAGTCATCGTGCCTGGTAGCGCATAGCCAGTGACACCCTTGAGCAAGTCAATGCTTTCGTGCTTGTGGCGGGGTGACGGGACTGAGTACCAGAGGTCTACGAATGCCAGCGTCACGGGTACGAACCCTTCATGCTCTCGGTTCATATCGATAGTAACCGTGTCGGCCTGTGAGTCCATGTATGATCGCGAATTGCTATCAGGCCGTGGGGTAGTGACCATGACATAATTGGTTGTCTCGTCTTGGTCGTCGGACTGCTCCTGCTCTTCCGAAGTATCGTCGAGCTTGCTGCTTTTTTCGTCATCGTCGGAGCTCCAAACAAGCACATTCGTGTCAACAGGAACGTCATATCGCTTATACTCGAGGACACAGCTACCGACCGCCGCAAAGAAGGCGATTGTGAACAGAAGGAAAACAACGCCCGCCCTTTGCCACCCTTTGCCTGACGGAATGTCGTACAGTGATAACGAGTACTCGCCCATGGTCATGTTGTATTTTGCGCAGTAGTCTTCACCCGCGTATTCGCAAACGTCAAGCTCTGAGGATCGATACTGGTTCACCGCCACTGCACGCAGACTCCAAGCAAGAGGATTGATCCAGTACAACCAGGCTAGACAATCGGGAATTCGACTGTGGGGGACAATGAAACCAGCGAAAACGACGTAGATCGCCATGGAAAGGATGGAGCAAGGTTTGGCGATATCGGAACTGGGAGCCATTGCCGTCAGTGCGAAGAACCATGCACACAGTGCAAGGTTGGTCAGGACCATGCACAGCAAGAAAAACAAGAAGTTGCTCACTTCGCCGACGAAGCCGCACATGATGTACGCGAAGCAACTGAAAACCAAGCACTCCACTATAGCAAGAGGCACGAGAGCTGCCAGACACGCGATTGCAAACGATGAGGTGCGATAAAAATTGGCGCGCCGGTGTTTGTAATAGATGTCGCGGGCTGCAATAAACACCGGGGTTTGTGATGCCTGGCCCATTGCCAAAAACACCGTCGTCTGGAACAAAACGCCTAACGCCACCTGCGCGTTTGTGGGGTCAAAGTTGGCGAAAGTGCTGCCATAGATGTATCCCATGATCACAATCATCAATGCCCGCGCACGCATAAAAGCCGTATTACGAACAGCGAGAAGCATTTGCCGGCGCATCAAAGTCAGGGTCCCGCTCCAGAACGACTGTCGAAACTCGGATGTCGTATCAAAGTGCTGCTCAGCATCGCGAACACGCTCACTGCTCCATTGGGCGTCCAAAGCTTGGTCGATGTCCTGGTGCAAAATCGACTGGCGGAATCGGTCGGCAAATTCACTTGGAAATCGAGGGGCCTGGATCGGAAATGATGCGTGATTGCTGCTTGATTTCGTCATTTCGTACTGGTACTGCTCATCAGTGCCTAGATCCAGAAGGTAGTCGGCGACGTCGCGGTCGGGTGGGCACACAAAGCCCAGACTTTCGAAGTATGGCAGGACATTGTCGCGTGGTCCATGATACATGACCTGGCCATCGTTCAGCAGCAGAACGTTATCGAAGAGCCCGAATACCTCGGGCGTAGGCTGCAGCAACGCCATGACCACTGTCTTGTGTAGCTTCTTGGCGATGTCACGCTGCGTGCTTACGATGTCGAAAGTAGCAGCACTGTCAAGACCCGTGCTGATCTCGTCCATGAACGTCGCGTACTTCATACCGAACTCCATCTCGCCGATCGACACGCGTCGACGTTCTCCGCCCGATACTCCGCGCTTCATCGTGTTTCCGATGATTGTGTCTCGACATGTCTGTAGACCAAGCTGCTGCAGTATGACATCCGGATAGTTCTTGAAAAGCGACTCTGTAACACGAAGCGCCGCTTCGTTCTGCTCGGGCGTGCCATGGGATAGCAGATTCTTGCCACGCTCTGCCACCACCTCTTCCTTGCAGCATGCATGCGCAAACTCGAGTGTCTCCTCTACTGACAGCGTTGGGAAGTGCTCGTCTGTCTGAGGAACGTACGCCACAAGTTGTGGCAGCTTCGGAAGCAACTCGTTCATCGCACGTCCATTGTACAAGACGTCGCCCTCAAGTGTGATGTTATTCTCGATGGGGAACTGGCCACTCAGCACCTTCATCAGCGATGTCTTGCCGGAACCGGGTTGACCGAGCAACAGTGTGATGGTGCCTGGCTCAAAAACAGCGTCTACTCTGTCGAGCACGAGTCGCTTTGTGACGTTTCTTGAAGCTGTGAGCTTTTGTAGCATGTGCTTGATGCTGTTGTAGACGGAAGGAAGCTCGGAATGTGAAGTCCTCGATTTTCGCTCGATGACTGAGACGTCAGCAACGACGGAAAGATTCTTGCATCGAATCTCCATTTGCGGGAGTTCATGTCCAAATGCCGGCTCAAGTTGCTCCGCGATGAGATTGTAGAAAGCAGCTTCACCTTGTGCCATGAGTGCGTTGCCGGAGTCAAGTTCAGGATACAGTTTGGGTTGGTCGATCCGAGGAGCAAATACGTCGATCGTAGTGACTGGAGCAGCCATGGTTCCGGGTGTGTATCGGTGCAAGGGGAACGCGGTGAGACGTACCGACGTGGTGCCAGAAGCAAATTTGAAAATGAATGTGCCGACGCAGAGGTGAGGTTGCCATGCCGACGAGCAAGAAAAACATTCGTGTGCACTTATTTGCACGCGAATGCATTCTTGCTATCCAATGCTGAAAGGCTTGCAGCCAAACCAACCAGATTTTACCGACCCTTCCATTGCTAGACGAGACTGCTACCCATCTCGAAAGCGCTTTCCCCGACTTGCGAACGAAGTCCTACTTGGTAATCAAATATGTATGTTGGACCAGCCATACAGCGCCTGACAAGGGAGATGTCATAGCATGAAAGGCTAAATATGTGCGTCCTAGGAACAACAACAGACACACACATCATTCGGTCTAACGAAAGATGCTAGCGACAATCAACACATGTGCGGTAGTCATGTCTCCAGCACAGCAGAGATTCTCCTGCCTCATGTTCACTTCTACCCTCAAGCGCTCGACATCTTTCGTGATCCACACACCAGATCGAAACAATTCTCCAGCAGAAAATCTAGGCAAAGTGTCGACACGAAACTATCTTTACGTCCACTATGAATTGGTACTTGGTGGCATTGTTGTCATGTCGATGAGCGAGATGCCCTTCGAGCGCACGATCGACTGCGGATACATTCTTTCCCGTCCCTTGCTGAATTTTCGAGGTCCCTTAAAGACCGCCTACCATCTCGAGGCCGCTATCTTTGACCTGACAAAGTGGCCGGTCATACGCTACTGTATTTCTGAGATCTGCCATGCTGCGCCGGACAAGAGCGACATAGCGGGAAAGGATAACTATGTGCATCGCTGTAAGAGAACAAGAGATAGACCATCATCCACATCACAAAACGTAGCCAAACACAACCCACAGGTGCGCAATACGCTGCAGCATAGCCAGGATATACCCGCCGGGCTGCGGATAAACAAGAACTATGGTGCCTCAGCCATTATCCCACTAGCAGCCCAATCATACTCGTGTCACTACTCCCCGAACGAGTGTCCACAACCTCTGTGATCCATACGCGGAATCGGACCAGTCCTTCAAAAGAAAATCGTGCTGGTGTGTAATCGTGACGCCGCGGACACCTTCGAGAACGACCGTGGGAAATGATGGCATGCCGATGAGCAAAAACGATTTGTGTGCCCTTTGTTGTTCGCGAAACGCGTTCATTTCCGTCGCAAGCTGAATTTTTTGAAGCCACGACTCTTCCATCGCAAGACGAGACCGCTAACCAGCTCGAGCTCACTTTCTTTTACATTCCAACGATGTACGACCCGGTAAGCATGGATGGGTCAAACACCAGCCAAGCAGCTCTTTGCAAGATGGTTGTAGCATGAAAGGCTCAATATTTGCGTCCTAGGAACAACAACAGACACACACATCATTCGGTCTAACGAAAGATGCTAGCGACAATCAATACATGTGCGGTAGTCATGTCTCCAGCACAGCAAAGATTCTCCTGCCTCATGTTCATTTCTACCCACAAGCGCTCGACACCTTTCGTGATCCACACACCAGATCGTAGCAATTCTCCAGCGGAAAATCTAGGCAAAGTGTAGACATGAAACCGTGGCAACGTCGACAATGAATTGGTACCCGTTGGAAATGTTGTCAATCGAGCCACATCCACAAGCGATAGGCCATTCGTGCGCACTACCGACCGCAGATCCATTCTGACCCGTCCTGTGCTGAATGTTTAACATCCCTTCCATCGACAGACGAGACCGGGAACCATCTCACGGTCGCTCTCTTTGACCTATCAAAAATGGCCGGTCAAGTACGCATGCATCCGTATGTATGAGACGGGCCCTGCTTCGCCTGACAAGAGCGACATAACGTGAGCGGCTATTTATGTGCGTCATAGTGACAACAAGAGACAACCGTCATTCGCTCCCGAAAAAAAGTAGGCAAAGGGGACCGAATGCATCCGAGTCAAATCACCGGCAACACAATGCAGCTCTTGCCCTTTACTCTTTCACCCGCATGAGATTCCACCAAACCTCTTCATCGACGTGCCAACTTTGACCAATCTTCGACGAAAAACCTGGATGACGTAAACGCGAGACGGCGCGGACTCCTTTGAGAAGAACTGCCGACCCATTGGTCATGTTGTCAATCGAGTATCATCGACGAGCGATAGGCCATTCGGCGCACTATCGACCGCGGATCCCTTCTGACCCGTCCTGTGCTGAATGTTTAAGGTCCCTTCCAACGACAGACGAGACCGCGAACCATCTCAAGGTCGCTCTCTTTGACCTATCGAAATGGCCGGCCAAGTACGTATTCGTATTTGTGAGACCGGCCACGTCGTCCCTGCCAAGAGCGAGGTAGCGGGAAAGGCTATGTATGTGCATAGCTGGAAGAGAACAAGAGATAGACCATCATCCAGACCACAAAAAGTAGCCAAACACAACCCACAGGTGCGCAATACGCTGCAGCATAGCCAGGATATGCCCGCCGGGCTGCGGAAAACAAGAACTATGGTGCCTCAGCCATCATCCCACTAGCAGCCCAATCGTACTCGTGTCACTACTCCCCGAACGAGTGTCCACAACCTCTGTGATCCATACGCGGAATCGGACCAGTCCTTCAAAAGAAAATCGTGCTGGTGTGTAATCGTGACGCCGCGGACACCTTCGAGAACGACCGTGGGAAATGATGGCATGCCGATGAGCAAAAACGATTTGTGTGCCCTTTGTTGTTCGCGAAACGCGTTCATTTCCGTCGCAAGCTGAATTTTTTGAAGCCACGACTCTTCCATCGCAAGACGAGACCGCTAACCAGCTCGAGCTCACTTTCTTTTACATTCCAACGATGTACGACCCGGTAAGCATGGATGGGTCAAACACCAGCCAAGCAGCTCTTTGCAAGATGGTTGTAGCATGAAAGGCTCAATATTTGCGTCCTAGGAACAACAACAGACACACACATCATTCGGTCTAACGAAAGATGCTAGCGACAATCAATACATGTGCGGTAGTCATGTCTCCAGCACAGCAAAGATTCTCCTGCCTCATGTTCATTTCTACCCACAAGCGCTCGACACCTTTCGTGATCCACACACCAGATCGTAGCAATTCTCCAGCGGAAAATCTAGGCAAAGTGTAGACATGAAACCGTGGCAACGTCGACAATGAATTGGTACCCGTTGGAAATGTTGTCAATCGAGCCACATCCACAAGCGATAGGCCATTCGTGCGCACTACCGACCGCAGATCCATTCTGACCCGTCCTGTGCTGAATGTTTAACATCCCTTCCATCGACAGACGAGACCGGGAACCATCTCACGGTCGCTCTCTTTGACCTATCAAAAATGGCCGGTCAAGTACGCATGCATCCGTATGTATGAGACGGGCCCTGCTTCGCCTGACAAGAGCGACATAACGTGAGCGGCTATTTATGTGCGTCATAGTGACAACAAGAGACAACCGTCATTCGCTCCCGAAAAAAAGTAGGCAAAGGGGACCGAATGCATCCGAGTCAAATCACCGGCAACACAATGCAGCTCTTGCCCTTTACTCTTTCACCCGCATGAGATTCCACCAAACCTCTTCATCGACGTGCCAACTTTGACCAATCTTCGACGAAAAACCTGGATGACGTAAACGCGAGACGGCGCGGACTCCTTTGAGAAGAACTGCCGACCCATTGGTCATGTTGTCAATCGAGTATCATCGACGAGCGATAGGCCATTCGGCGCACTATCGACCGCGGATCCCTTCTGACCCGTCCTGTGCTGAATGTTTAAGGTCCCTTCCAACGACAGACGAGACCGCGAACCATCTCAAGGTCGCTCTCTTTGACCTATCGAAATGGCCGGCCAAGTACGTATTCGTATTTGTGAGACCGGCCACGTCGTCCCTGCCAAGAGCGAGGTAGCGGGAAAGGCTATGTATGTGCATAGCTGGAAGAGAACAAGAGATAGACCATCATCCAGACCACAAAAAGTAGCCAAACACAACCCACAGGTGCGCAATACGCTGCAGCATAGCCAGGATATGCCCGCCGGGCTGCGGATAAACAAGAACTATGGTGCCTCAGCCATCATCCCACTAGCAGCCCAATCGTACTCGTGTCACTACTCCCCGAACGAGTGTCCACAACCTCTGTGATCCATACGCGGAATCGGACCAGTCCTTCAAAAGAAAATCGTGCTGGTGTGTAATCGTGACGCCGCGGACACCTTCGAGAACGACCGTGGGAAATGATGGCATGCCGATGAGCAAAAACGATTTGTGTGCCCTTTGTTGTTCGCGAAACGCGTTCATTTCCGTCGCAAGCTGAATTTTTTGAAGCCACGACTCTTCCATCGCAAGACGAGACCGCTAACCAGCTCGAGCTCACTTTCTTTTACATTCCAACGATGTACGACCCGGTAAGCATGGATGGGTCAAACACCAGCCAAGCAGCTCTTTGCAAGATGGTTGTAGCATGAAAGGCTCAATATTTGCGTCCTAGGAACAACAACAGACACACACATCATTCGGTCTAACGAAAGATGCTAGCGACAATCAATACATGTGCGGTAGTCATGTCTCCAGCACAGCAAAGATTCTCCTGCCTCATGTTCATTTCTACCCACAAGCGCTCGACACCTTTCGTGATCCACACACCAGATCGTAGCAATTCTCCAGCGGAAAATCTAGGCAAAGTGTAGACATGAAACCGTGGCAACGTCGACAATGAATTGGTACCCGTTGGAAATGTTGTCAATCGAGCCACATCCACAAGCGATAGGCCATTCGTGCGCACTACCGACCGCAGATCCATTCTGACCCGTCCTGTGCTGAATGTTTAACATCCCTTCCATCGACAGACGAGACCGGGAACCATCTCACGGTCGCTCTCTTTGACCTATCAAAAATGGCCGGTCAAGTACGCATGCATCCGTATGTATGAGACGGGCCCTGCTTCGCCTGACAAGAGCGACATAACGTGAGCGGCTATTTATGTGCGTCATA